ACCGCCAACTCTTGGGCTACTCTTTTACCAACGAATAGTGGGATTGACCGTCACATTATAACGCCCCCACGGCTGAAAGGGCGAGCATGTTTGGTGCGAGTCGAGCGTCCTAACCACCTGGCCATGCCGGGCCGTCTAATAAATACAAATTTATGTTTAACTCGATTGCACTTGGATTATTCACTAGTTATAAGAGTTTTAAGTCTGGCTTAAGAAAAACGTGTCTATATTTTCAGAAAGTTGCTGTTGTTGGACTTTAGCGTAAACCTACAAAATGGGTTATGTTCGTTCTGTCTACTGCGGGGAATTCAGCCTTGGGTTTTAGCGTCATAAGTCTGGAAACTTACAACTGACCCACTGTGGGGACGTTTTCAGGAGGACGATGCATCTTTTAACGACACCGATGACATACAAATGTGAAGAAAAAGAGTCCAGAAATATGGGACGATTATCTTGTTTTTCATTACTATAAACTTTCAACATAAAATATCATTACATTTGAGTAACCCAGTTATTAATAGTTGACTTATGGGTTTACTAGCACGCACAGAATGTAAGCCAAAGGTTTAACCCTTAAATCTAACGTTATTGTTTCATGTATAGATATAACTGAATGTGACATTCCCATCTTAACGTGATAGAAAATAATATCAAACAATTAAACAAGAGAGTTAATAAGGTAACATAGTCATCAGTTCAATCGTTTTTTCAAATATAGGTACAAAATAATGCTGATTAAGAGATTACAAAAAATATCTCGAGTTGGCGTCACTTACAATGGCGATATCCCACGGCAAGGACTATGTGCAGTCAAACACCTGAAGGTGAAAATATACTGGCCAAGATCTTCCTGTTGAATGACTTCCACAGGTTTGTTGTACACGTCGGTGGTAAGGTTAATCTGTAACCAAGTGGTCTCAGTGCCGCAAGTTTCTTCTGATGGATAGGTGGAGGATCTCTTGAACTGTCGGTTTATTGAATTTTCCTTTTCCGGTTGGCCGAACTGTAGAAATATTCAATTACACTTAGTATAGATCTTACTGCCTTTTTAACGACTTACATGTTATAAAGATAAGGGAAATATAATAGCTAGTATAAGTGCCAATGTAGTTTCGTCCGATGAAGAAGACATCTAGGTTAATAATTAAGAAATGTTCTTGCATTGAAAGGTATAAAGGTAAAGTAAAGGACATCTCTATTTACTTTTCTCTCAAGATTTTAATGCAGTGAACCACGGTTATGTTTAAGTATTATTCACATTTAGAGAAAAATTGGTACCTTGTAGAATTTAAAATATCTATGCGTTGAAACACACTAGCCTTGAAATAATGCTTACATCTCTTCCCATTAGCGTCAGAAAATACAACTATAATCAATGTTTTTTTTTTCTAATTAGCTAACTTGAAACTGCATGGGCATTGAAATAAGTTTATTTCCACTAGATGGCGAAAAACAGCAAAATTTAAAATAAGTTATCTATAAAACTATAAAAATTCTATAAAACTATATAGAACATTATACAGTCCTCAAACACTGTAAAATTATTTTATAACAACATACAAATGTTTAAAGATCATGACTGTTATAAAGTCATGATTTGTAAGTTCTGTTAAAGCAGTCGAAAAAGTCGCCTCCAACAATAATCAATATTCCAATATGACACTACTGAGGGTTAATAACACTTCTCAAGGACAATTTGCATATGCTAATACAGTGGTGGTGCTAAGAGTGAGATGGACACTTTTCTTACCTGATTATTGCGAATTCCTGACCATTTGACAATGTAATGTCGCCAAAGACAACGTTATGTCAGAAGGAAAATGTGATAGACCTTTACGAGAAAGGATATACGTACAGCAAAATATCAAAGAGGTGCGTAGCTCGAGGTAGACCAGTTTCAAGAACTGAAATCTATACCATAGTGAATGATATCGGCAAGGGTGAACGATGCCATCTATATGATGAAGTTAAAATAATTTTTATAGCAGCCAAACGCACGCAAAATTGTTGGTAGAATTCGGAAACTAGTTGCAGAGGACCCTTCTCTCACAAATATATCCAAAATGAGACCGTTAACAAGTTGTACATATTCTTATAAACTGTGTGGTAGAATTCGGAAACTAGTTGCAGAGGACCCTTCTCTCACAAATACATCCAAAATGAGACCGTTAACAAGTTGTACATATTCTTATAAACTGTGTGGTAGAATTCGGAAACTAGTTGCAGAGGACCCTTCTCTCACAAATATATCCAAAATGAGACCGTTAACAAGTTGTACATATTCTTATAAACTGTGTACAAGATAATTCACAAACACATTGTCTGTGTAACAAAAGAATAAATTACACGTGCACAAGCTGATTCCTAGATACATTGGCGAGAGAAAGAAAAGATGCCAAAAACAATCAGTAAAACAAATACCTTACACGTGGGGAATGAAAGTTTGTTTCAACATTGGACATAGCGAGATCTGGGTTACTTGAAAGACTGCGACAAAAAACGTGTGATTTGCTACCGACCATGAACTGATAAGTACTTTATAACATGGCCTAAAGAATGCAGAGGAAGTTATTTTGCCAGATTTCATTGTTGTTACAGATTGGGTTACTTGAAAGACTGCGACAAAAAACGTGTGATTTGCTACCGACCATGAACTGATAAGTACTTTATAACATGGCCTAAAGAATGCAGAGGAAGTTATTTGCCAGATTTCATTGTTGTTACAGATTTTTGTGTGATTTGCTACCGACCATGAACTGATAAGTACTTTATAACATGGCCCAAAGAATGCAGAGGAAGTTATTTTGCCAGATTTCATTGTTGTTACAGATTTATTTATAATGAGGAATTTAAACTTCAGAAAATACACAATGAAGTAATTATGAGTTATAGTTATAAAAGGAGAAGGTACTGACGCCAACTATACGAAACGAAATTTCTATACTGTACTGTAGTGTATGGCGAGGACGACAAGAAGATATGGCTATCTACAAGTCATAGGTCGGTAATATACAACGAAGAGTGAAACCAGTATTTATGCTGTACACTTGTCCTATTTACCCGTGAACCCTAATTATACACTATAGGCCTCCATACAATTGTTTTGATTAATCATGGTTTTGATAATCGAATTGGACTAACAGTGGAGGGTTTATGGAAAGTTTTCAAGACTTGTAATGGCAACTTAGCCTCCCCATTCATCACAGAAGTTTGATACAATGGAAATTATAGTACCGAGCAATAATGCGTCATCATTTATATTAGAATGAGTAGAAACTACGATAGAGAAAGTAGTTCCAAAAGTAGTATTTCTTGTTGTTTCAGTGCAAAGCTACGCAACGGGCAATTTGCGCTCTATCCACTGCGGGGAATCGAATTGAAGTCCGTAAACTTATCACTGACCCATCAGAGGACTCCGAAGTAGCACGAAAACCAGAGCATAGTTCTTGTAAAAAGCGATCATATCTTTGTATCTTTTCACATACAAGAGATCAGTATGGTACAAATATTAACCTATTTTAAAGCTATCAGAAAGGCAGGGTAAGACATACCTCTAATGAATCTGAATATCTCAGATATTTGATTAGTAGTATAATAGGATCTATGAAATTAGACAATTTTCAGCTTCTCACCAAATTTGATATCCAGTATATATAAGTTTTTCTTTCGTAAGATACATAGCAATAAAAAACGAAGTAGTTTTTAGCAGTGTCTTTTTACCTCCTCTTCATTATATCCAGGAAAACTCCTGTTTGGAATAAAGTTGGGTTTTTTCTTTCCCACCCACAGTCGGTGCTGATGAAGGGCTGGGTGTTCAGCAATATAATCATAAAGCCCAGTTAATCGCTCCTTCATCAGCGCCATTTGTAGAGAAGAAAGGTGACTAGTAGCTTGTTGTTGAAAATCTCGGATAAGATCTTCCGTGTAAGCTGTAAAAACAGAGGAAATCAGAAAATAAGTTACAATGAACTGTAAAAGTTCGAAATTTCAAAATTATTGTTGACTAAGGCTATGTCTGAACTACTGAGATTAAGTGTAAGCTTAAGTAAGGTTTCCATATAAGCTTCTTGCAAACTAACTAACTGTACAACCTATTACTAGATAGACCCATATTTTTTATCTTACATTACAAACGTTTCAAAAATTTAGTATTTTTAAATCCCATATTTATGCGGACATAATTTCTATACTGATACTTTTCAACTAAAGGTTTGCTTGTTATTAAACACAAAGCTACAGCATTGAAATCCGGTTTTTATCGTAATAAGCCTTCAGACTTACCGCAAGCCACTGAGGGGCTCAACGAAAGGGCATGTCAGATATGTAACATGAAAAGTTTTGCAAATTCAGGATTCTTTTATTTTCTCAGAAGATTGGCTTGGGTTGAATTTAGAGCAAAGCTACACGAGGGTTTTCTGCTCTTGTCGTCCCTAATGTAGCAGTGAAAGACTAGAGGGAAGGCAGCTAGTTTGTTCTACTCTTTTACCAACGAATAGTGGGATTGACAGTCTCATTATAATGCTATCACAGCTGAAAGGGCGAGCATGTTTGGTGGGATGGAGATTCTAACCTGCGACACTCAGATTGCGAGGCAAACGTCCGAACCACTTGGCCATGTCGGGCCTTTTCAGAAGAATGTTAATGTTTGGTAATTTTAAATTAGTGAAATGGAACAATGATTAACCTTACCGAAAAAAGGGACAGATTAAATGATTTATTTGTTTTAGAATTACACACTAAGCCGCACAAGGACTATCTGCGTGTAGCAGTCACTAATTTTGAACTGTTAGATAAAGGAAGGCAGCTAGTGAACAGCACCCAGTTAACTCTTGGGTGATATTGACTGAACAGTTGGTTTTGACCTCAGTTTTATAAGGCATCCTCGGCCCCATAGTGCGGAGCGACTTTTTGTGGTAAAAGGAGTGATTAAAACCTTTGGATTCGCAGTCCGGGCTCCCCAAATACTAGGCCATGCCTGAACTTGAATGGATTCCAGCTGATATGCAGCGACTTAATACGTCAGCAAACAGTTGAATAGATGTTGAAACTTGAAGGGACGCAAACAATGAAATAGCAAACATAGGAATAATGTTATATATATAGATAAGTTGTAAAGCGTAATAAATAATGTTTGGAGATCAAACTACATACTTTATACATTTAATGAATATGTTCTATTACTTATGTTTTATCTTTGAAACATCCATGAATGATAATAAACAATTTTTTTTATATAATCAATGTCGGGAATTGCTTGTGTTTTGTTATTGTGTTTTTTTTTATTATATCTGTAATTGACGATTTACAATTATTGTTTGTTTGAAGCTAAGCACAAAGCTACATAATGGGCTATCTGTGCTCTGCCCACCACGGGTATCGAAATC